ACTGGTTGTTCTAGATTATATCGCTACATTTTTTTTTAAATAAATTCACGTTGATTCTGGTTTTATAGATGATTTTCACTAACTTCAAAATATTTCCCAGGTAGTGACGACAGCATTCGGTGTGTTAAAAGAGAGTCGTGAAAATTCTCGTCACATATCAAAATTATCGGAGCGTGCAGGCGCCGTAAATTAAATTCCACGAAGTAGAGAAGCAACACTTCCCTCCAGAAAACTATTCGCTGGATGTGTATGGCCCCTAGAGCGTAACCTCGTGTCATTTGCTTTGGAATTTCTGCTGTAACCATCCAAAATTCTCGTTTTCTGTGGGATACGTTAAATTATTTACACAATCTCTACCTTGAAACTGAAGAGATAAAATTAGTAAAATAAATTTATTTAACAGAATAACTTGTATTTATCTATAGAAACATGAGCAGTAAACATTTCTGCTTATCTAAACATTATACATTACCATCGTTTTAGCCCTATACAGGGTGTCCCAAAAATGTCCTCCGACCCGGAAATGTGGCACTCGGGGGGTGAATTGGAACAACTTTTTCCTTAGCCAAAATTTAAACTGAGGCTTCGTTTACGAGATATTAACGAAAAACCGCGACCAATCAGAGCGCGAGTTTGCCAGCCGAGTTCCCGCGCTAGCGGTGGCTACGCGCTACGCTTGTACTACGATGCTCCGAACAAGTAGGTCACCATGCATCGCAGGAAACCGCGTATAATAATAGCAAATAAACAAGACGTAACAAATAAAATCATACTTTTTATCATCTGTCGTTTGTTATTTAAAGAGATTAATGAATGAAACGTAAATGTAGGCAAATTATGTTTAACGTAAAAAGACGAATGCACATTTACATTTTTGTAAATTCCTTTTTACGAATTTGTAAATTTCCTTTTCAAATAACGTGTGAACGAAAAGGTAATGTAACAAAGAATAAACGAGAAGTAATTGTAGTTCGGTGAAATTAATAAAACAATAATGACCAATAAACTGAATAGAACTCACCCTTACGGAAATTCACCTGCAGCGTAGAAACCTGCGTCAGTAGGTCAGTGTACCGATCCTGGTCATCGACGGCCCAAACGGTTTATGGCAGGGTATGGCCCAGTTCGCAGGTGATCGCAGGTATACCTCACCAGCCGAAGTTAAGGGTTGTAACGTCAAGTGCGTCCTGGTTATTCCACAGAATACGTACTCGCTTCACTGCACGACCACTAACACTGATCACCCGACACAATCACTTAATGTATTTTTAATCCAACGTGTTGTTACTACGTTAGGAAAATTCGTGGCCTCGGAAAGGGCCGATTGTTTTCAATTTTTCAGATGTTTTACGTAACCAAACACTTGCACAGCAACACCCGCATATCCGTTATTGTGTACGTACCACCATAACATTGCGTAATACTCCCGTGAACTGAACATCTCTGTCGCCCGATTGCTAACCGACTGACAGAATTTTTCCTCTACCCCCAAGTAGTTTCCCATCGTTACATTGTGAGTTCACTCCCACCATGACAAGATTTAGGTAGAAAGAAACCAACGGTTCTAGGATAACACGTGCTTTGCAGAAGTGGAAGGAAAGGACCGTCGCGCAGTTTCTCCAAGGCGCCGTAGCCCGTTAATTTATTGCCAGGGTACCTACTCCTTCGAGATAGAAAACAGACATCACGTGCATCGGCTTAAAAATGTCCGAAATGAAGAGGACCATCAACGTATCCCTTGCTTCGAGTTGGAAAGTACAGTGTACATTGTCTATCTCGAGGAGCAGGGAAAAAAATTTACCGACACGTGTCAGTTGACGCTGCAAGGCCCTGGACGACCACCCTTGTAGAGGCCGGAGTGGAATTTTCGGTTATTTATGGCTTAAAATCTTCGGCCTCGTAGCAATCGTGAACTCACAACAGAATTGACAATCGACAATTTTATTACAACTTTGTGAAATTGTAGTTCTCATGAAAACATTTCATACGTATTTTTTTTTTTAGTATTCCGTCAAATATCTCGGAAATTATTAGAAATATAAAAACCGTATTCGTTAAATTCTTTTCCGTAAAATAAGCCTATCGGTAGGGTGATGCGGTTCATATTAACGTAATAGTAACCCATTGAAGACAGCGGTGCGCCCCGGTTCAGGTAAAAGAATCGGGCGCTCCACTATTACAGTCGACTGATGGTATCGCTAACGCTCCAGACTATTTCAATAGATTAAAAGCTATATCAAAGTATCAATGATTTACGGAAAAGAGTTCAACGAAAGATTGTTTAAAGAAAGGGATTATTCTGGAATTCAATGATATAGCTACATTCAATATCAAAACAAACACAATATTGCAAATTGTACGGTTTTTATATTTCTAATAAATTCCGAGATATTTGACGGAATACTAAAAAAAAAAAAGGCCGAAGAAATTGAGCCATAAAGAACCGAAAATTCCACTCCGGCCTCTACAAGGGTGGTCGGCCAGGGCCTCTTCATTTCGGACATTTTCAAGCCGATGCACGTGACGTCTGTTTTCTATCTCGAAGCAGTGGGTACCCTGGCAATAAATTAACGGGCTACGGCGCCTTGGAGAAACTGCGCGACGGTTCTTCCCTTGCACTTCTGCAAAGCACGTGTTATCCTAGAACCGTTGGTTTCGTTTTACCTAAATCTTGTCGTGGTGAGAGTGAACTCACAATGTAACGATGGGAAACTACTTGGGGGTAGAGGAAGCCCTTTCGGAAAAATTCTGTCAGTCGGTTAGCAATCGGGCGACAGAGATGTTCAGTTCACGGGAGTATTACGGAATCTTATGGTGGTACGTACACAATAACGGATATGCGGGTGTTGGTGTGCAAGTGTTTGGTTACGTAAAACATCTGAAAAATTGAAACCAATCGGCCCTTTCCGGGGATACGAATTTTCCTAACGTAGTAACAACACGTTGGATTAAAAATACATTAAGTGATTGTGTCGGGTGATCAGTGTTAGTGCAGTGCAGTGAAGTGAATACATATTCGATGGATTAACCCGGCGGCACTTGACGTTGCAACTCTTAACGTCGGCTGGTGTCGCATACCTGCGATCACCAGTGGCATGGACTCTACCCTGCCATAAACCATTTCGTCCGTCGATGCCCAGGCTCGGTACACTGACCTACTGACGCAGGTTTCTACGCTGCAGGTGAATTTCCGTAAGGGTGAGTTCTATTCAGTTTATTGGTCATTATTGTTTTATTAATTTCACCGAAGTACAATAACTTCTCGTTTATTTTCTGTTACATTACCTTTTCGTTCACACGTTATTTGAAAAGGAAATTTACAAATTCGTACAAAGGAATTTACAAAAATGTAAATGTGCATTCGTCTTTTTATGTTACACATAATTTGCCTACATTTACGTTTCATTCACTAATCTCGTTAAATAACAAAAGACAGATGATAAAAAGTATGATTTTATTTGTTACGTCTTGTTTATTTGCTATTATTATACGCGGTTTCCTGCGATGCATGGTAACCTACTTGTTCGGAGTTTCGTAGTACAAGCGTAGCGCGTAGCCACCGCTAGCGCGGGAACTCGGCTGGCAAACTCGCGCTCTGATTGGTCGCGGTTTTTCGTTAATATCTCGTAAACGAAGCCTCAGTTTAAATTTTGGCTAAGGAAAAAGTTGTTCCAATTCACCCCCCGAGTGCCACATTTCCGGGTCGGAGGACATTTTTGGGACACCCTGTATATTACTAGTTTATCAAACAATAATCAAAGAATATGTATTTCCTTTAAACGCATTTGTCAAGTGAAATATTTACATAGTACTGTATATATTTATCGCCTCACTCAAATATTAACCCTTTGCCTTATAAGGTCAAGTGACACACGCAATAACGATTTCAAACTGCATTTAATATATATTTATTTATTTATTTCGGCAGTGTTGCCAAGAAATGCACTCGGTTTAGGTTGGTAGGATTGTGAGCACATGTAAAAAGCAACGGAGAAAAAAAATTTTAAAAACCGAAAAAAATTTGCGAGTAAAATAGAAAGAAAACTGTATTTAATAAAGATTCATATAATTCGTTCTCTAGTCAAAATGAAACACTGTTTCGCCGGTATTAATATTTAAAATTTAGAGTAAATCACTTGCCGTAAGAATAGAATTCCTTTTGCATCTGGGAAATTATTAATCGTTAGAGGGCAAAAAATCGTAAAGTAGGAGGTTGAACACATTGTTCTTTACACTCCTCACATAATTAATATCCAGAAAAATTAATTGAAACACATAGTTACTGCAAACATTCTGCAGTTCAGTATGTTGGTCCAAATAAGTTCGACACGAATCATTTTACCAATCATATTCCTATGAAAATTAAGCGTACTACATAAATTTAAAATTGATGCAATAAATATATCCAGTACTGTACCATTCCATCGTGCGCTCCATTCAAATTTCCCCAGCCATCGAGCTTCGAATTTACAATATTTAACTACCACCCCGCTAAAGAACCGCAGCAAAGGCGGTCATAGAACATCGATCCCCGAGCATTTCCATCCATCGCATAATCCACCACCGTGTGATCGATTTTTCGAAAGCTTTGCCCTCAAAGAAGCTCCGTTCTATCTAGGAAAAAAAAACGGACAGGAACCTTTTATGTTTCCTCGAAAAATTCTCGATAAAGTCACGCGATCGCGACGAATAATAATAATAATAATTCCAGAGACAATTCGATTTCCGATACAGCGTAGCCGGAAGTGGGAAAGCTCGTGCCGTATTTTTGTCAGATATTTACAGGATCGTGTTCGACGAGCAATACAAAGCCAAAGGTGGGGGAGGGATATTTCTCGACTCGATGAATCGACGCGATCGCGAGCGCGAGCCCCCCGACAGAGTCTCGATTTTATCGGTCGGGGGTAGTTTTCATCGCAAGCGCCACGATAGTTGGATTCCAGCTGTATCAACCCACGGGAAAGGGAATCGATCCGACTGATTTATTATTGTCGTTGCAGAGGAATGCACTGCGGACAGGTGCAGCAAGGTTCCATGTTCCCACGGAGGGAAATGCCTGACTACTGGCGGCGACACGGCCGTTTGCCTTTGCCCCCTCGGATACACCGGTGACCTGTGCGAGACACGAGTAGATCTGCAGGTAAACATCACGATATTTCTTGCATTTCAATGTTAGAATTACCATGGGACGTTTGTTATCTGAATTAATAGAGAAACAAATTCGTTCTAATAAATGGTTTTATGGATAATTGGTCTAGGACCTAGAGTTTTCCAATCTATTGCTAGTACCAGGAGGATTGTTTCAGTGGAAATTGTTTTTATAAAAAGTTTAATCTTGATCATCTTTAAGACTTATTTATTTCGATGTGACTTTTATTATGAGAACACTGTTCAATAAAATTTTGAAAATTCTAAAATGATGGAGTGAAACTGGTTTCATTTACTTGATTTTGAATTGCTGAATACAATGGTAATCTCACTTTTGACTCTATACGTAGAGATCTTTTTTAAGTTAATTGTAAATATGGAGCTGTAAAAAACATGTATTATATTTATCTTTTGGTTAAATTCAGTATTGCTTTTATTATTATTTTTTTAATACGATAGCAAAAAAGTCAGAGAAATTGTAGTAGATGAATAATTGAAGAAATAAATCAAGCTGAACAACGCTAACTTTATGTCTAAAAAGGTAGATCCTGTGGCATTTAGGGAAAAAACTAAAGCCTGCATCGTGTTCAGCATACTTTAATTAACACAAAAAACCAGGTTTAGTTCCATTATTTTAGGACTTGTTAAGAATAATAGATGATATACTTTTCCGATAGTGGACTTTCGGATAATTGACGTCCTACTATAAATATTATTCGTAAATATTAAAATAATATTAATAATTAATGTAATATCTGTACACTTACTACTTGAATGGCTACTCTGCTACTAATTATGTTTACCAGATTTTACACGTTTAAAGCAAAAATTTGTTTAAATCTCAAAAGCCAGAATATTGTAGCCTAATTACGCTGGTGATTATGAAAGTAGTGTATGTCAAGGAACCAAACAATTTACTTTTTCTCTTATTTTATGTTACATCGATCTATATTTCAATATTACGGAAGAAATTTCAAAACGAAAAATACATGACTTACACGACTTGCATAATCACCGGCACAATTAAAACTCACCTGTCACCAAAAAAGGAAAGTATCCAGACAAAATCAACATTCCTCGGTAATAACACAAGTTTCCTGCGCTTTAACTGTCGGTAATGCACACGAAAGTCTTGAAACTTCTGTAGAATAAAGCTTCGAAACCTCCCAAAGGAAGCTTCGAAAAATTCCGATCTTTCCCCGTCTCAGAGAGTTCCTCGAGAGAAATAAAAGATATTTAACCCGAGAGCACACGCGTAAACGTATTTCGCAGAATGTGATGCTTTATCCGGATTTAAAAAAAAAATATTAGACATTCGATTTAAAAAACTAAAGGTGACCTTCACATTTCGATAAAAAAGCAAAGTAACAACAAAATGTTTACAGTACTATAATATCCTCCTGGAAACCATGTAACTTTTGTTTGAAACATTTAGCAAATAATTTATGACCTACATATTTGAAGTCCTTACGTTACGAGACTCACCCTGTACTGTACAAAGTATTGACATTGTGTTAAGCTTCAACTTTTGTAGTAAATCTAACAATTCTTACATCTTTTGTTGCTTGTCGCTCGTTTCTGTATCAACCGATTTCAATGAAAGTTTCAGTATGTACATACCGAACATAAATCTTCGATATGTATTTATTAAATTTGCATTATAGCCTCACATTAAAAAGTTGTAAAAAACGACCTTTACTATTTTCTTCGCGATTCCGACCAATTGCAACTTTTTCAATTTTTTGTACACATCATTTAGTAAACTAATTTCCCTAACTTCATACAAGAACTCAGGTCATTTGGACCAATTTTAAAAAAGTTGTTCCATTTTAAAAGATGTACCAATACTTTTGTCCGGTACTGTATGTGTGTGCGTGTGTATAAAATAAGGGAGACGACTCTGGCGAGGAGAAGTCAGTCTTGAGCAGCCGTCAACAACGCATACATTATTTAACCCACCTCTCCCAAACGCCCTACGTAATCGTTAAACTCAGTTTTCTCAGTTTAGAAACCAATGGAGATAAAACAATTAAAAACTAGAGCTACGAATTGAACATGTGTCCGTATATAACATCACGGAGTCGTCTATCCACCCAATACCTTTCCACCATCCAAGGAACTACATATTTGAAGCAAAAACTGTGGGACATTTTTTACCACAACGCGTGTGTTGCCTTCAGAATAAGAAAGAAGTATTTCTCGTAATAAAAATCAAAATATGGAGAAGGATGATTGAATCCGCGCGTGTTGAACTTTTTCGGAAAATTTTATGAGGTGTGCCCAGGACTCGGGGGCGTTCTCGGTCGACGCTTACGGCCCCCGATGCATCGTTGGCCTTCTTTCCCTCTCTCGGTGGCGGAGGCGACATCCTGGTGATAACACGATCCCACGGGTCTCTGCGGGAAAGTGACCCTGTGTATTATGCGAGAAACCAAACACCTAGAAAGCATCCCAACGGGGTGGAGGGCAAAGCATTTTCTCGCAGTGGCGTGCACCTCGCGTCACGGATAACACCTTCCACTTTGCTTATCGCGTTCCTTTCGGTGTTTCGAACAGCCTCCGTTTCTCCTTTCGTTTTTTTTTTCTCGCTGTGAGACAGGTATCGGTGCTTGCGTGAACAAAAGTTTCGAGTGGAACCGTAGTGAGTGGAAAAGTTGCGATCGGTTTTGCTGGAAAAGGATGAACTGTGTCGCTGTAGTGGAAATTATTTCGTTCAATGATTAGATAGTCGTCATTGCTTTCTACGACTTGTGACAAATGTTTTCGTAGCATACGTATCGCGCACAAACGATACCTGGTTTGTCTTAAGAAAGATGTTATGGTTTAGGGCTTCAAAAGACTAGAATTTACTTGGTTATTCGTTTTTGTAACCCTCGTACAGTGGATGCGGGGTCATTTTGACTCAACTACAGAAATCGTCACATTCCTTGTGTAAAACTCGGACTCATTATGACTAGACTGCGGGTTTTATGCATTTATAGTATACACGATTATTTGAAACTCAGTATTGTAAGATCTACAACAGAAATTGATGAGGTTTTCACTTCACTTAGAACCTTACAGAACCTTTCTTTCTTATTTACGTATACTGCTTCAAATAGAGTAACTGATACATCAGAGCTTTATCATCTGTTACTTTAGAATTATACACATGGGGGTCTTCAACAAAATCATCCCAACATAACTTGAAATTTATTTTAAAAGGTAACCAGCCAACTAATTTTAACGATTCTTTCAATGCACGCTAAAAAACAAAATACAGTAGACACCCATATTACACAGAAAACACATATCTATTATGTATAGGTTCGTTATAAAAAATGTTAGCTGAATCTCAAAGATATTTCTTGTGGTAGTTTCAATTATATTGTCCTAAAATATAAACTTACCTATCGTCTTCTACAAGCCGTCTTATCGTGTTATACAAACACTGCCACAATTTTTCCGTCGTGTTATACGAATCCCTGTCGTACGGAGGTCCACTGTAATTCGAAAACAAAGACATTTCAATTCGTGGCGCTACCAAAACGAACCAACTCTCGCAGTTTCGAATCCCAACTAAAATCGATTGATCAAATTAATTATGTCGGAACGTTTGCGGCTTGGGAACCATTGTGCACGATCCTCTACCTCGACGAGGAAGGGTCTTCCAGTAGCATACAACTCTGCTATTGAAGTCTCACCCAATAAACCTTTCAGAAAATTCGATTGAACTGTCCGTAGCGTGTATTACATGCAATTAAAGGATGGTTGAATCAATACTCGGACTTCAGAAAGGAGTTTGAGTTTCAACTGACACTTATTAACCATTATTTCTTCGTGGTTCTTCGCCTTGAAAGGAACTTCCGGTTCCCCAATAAATACATTCGTCCAGGATACGTGATAAAAAAAATCCCTTCGCCCACCAGCAATAATCCTTGAATTTATCCAAAAATTTTGTCAGAAAATCTCCAAAATTTCGTGAAAGAAACGAAATACTTGTTTCCTCGCGCGTTCCCCGGAAACGATGTTCAGTACATTCTACGTATCGTCTCGCCCGGACGACTGTTAGTCGCATTAAATCGACGGGAACGCCTTTATACAATCGTCCTCATGGATCTATCCTATATCGAGTTAACGCCGATCCGCGTGATTTTTCACGTTCCGCCGGATAATCGTTCTCGGGCGTTCTTCTTTTTTTCGACGAGCGCGATTTTAAACGTTTCAACGGGCACGAGGACATAAATGCCGATCAATTTGTCCTCTCATCCGCAGACGACACTTCACGTGCGCGTGGAAATATACGGAGGGGATTATGCACGGATATATACGATGATATCGATTATAACGACAGCGCGGATGCATTACAGAGCTCGCGTAGACGGCGTGGAACTGTATCTGATAAAATTCCGTGTGTGCTTGGCGACCGATATTACTTCCGGTGCGTTTCGAGAGTAAGTATAACAGCAGTGAGTACACGGCTGAAATTAATATTTAAACAGTTCATGAATATTTTAACAGTTTTTTATAACAATTCTCTGCACTTTTCTCTTGTAATAGGCGTCACGTTTTATATCGTGTTTTCTACGATCTTGAATTTATCACCGAGTCTACGAATAGATAGATCTTACAGTTATCTTTATAGATTAATTTAAGACTAGTTGATTGGGGATTTTATGTATTTATGGTGTACGCGTTGGTTAAAATTCAGTATAGGGTATAGTTTGACAAATTTTAACGAGATTCTTAAACTATTTGAAATGTGATAGGTCCTATATCAAAGTAAATAAATTCATGTGTGATTTCGATTTTTGTAAATAAGTACTCAAAATTTTGTATTTGCTTTGTAATTACTAGATTACGGATTTTTATATGACACGACATATTTTAGAGTAGTCTATAAAGTTATAAAGTAAATATAGAAAATTCATTTTTTTCTTAAGTTTTCAATTAGACCGAGAGTAATATTACAAGTCGATAAATCTAGTAAACCGTTATACTTCAGAATATTTCAGACAGTTCGGCACGCTATAAATGCATAAAGATCCATCCAGTGAAAAAATTATTCAAACTGTCTAAAACGACCCAATACTGTTCAAACTGTCTGAAACGACTCAATACTGTTCAAACTGTCTGATACGACCCAGTACTGTTTAAACTGTCGGAAACGAGTCAATACTGTTCAAACTGCCTGATACGATCCAATACGGTTCAAACTATCTGAAACGAGTCAATAGTGTTCAAACTTTCTGAAACGAGCCGATACTGTTCAAACTGTCTGAAACGATTCAATACTGTTTAAATTGTGTGAAACGACCCAATACTGTTCAAACTGTCTGAACATTTTATCGCAAATTCAACCATGTTTGAACAGGTTGATTACGCATCACGAATTACATACTAGTTTCCAGCTCGATAATGTACATTAACAACCGTCATACCGCCTCGATAGAAATTCATATTAGGAAACATCGAACGGAATTCTTTCTCAACAGTCGGCGAACGAGATGCTACGAATGATCATATATACTTGACTCAACGATGTAGCTGGATTTCCTGTTTATCCGGTCGAATGTACTACACGGGTTACAATTTTATTTTTATCACTCTGCCGGTCGTGTTCCACTCGTTCCCGTGCGTCTTAGCTTCCCCGATGACGATCCGTTTCCCCGTCGCGCCGCTCCGTGCCGATGGGATTTATGGGAAGATATAACGCGCGCGATCGCGGATACACACGCCCGCCTGGCTTTAATTTAGTGGCTGTATCTCCGAGGTCGGGGGGCCGGTTTCTCGCGGATAACTGTCTTCCTGTTCGGTAACTACGTCATTTCGGGAATTGACGCCGCGAGATAACCGGAGGAAAAATAAGGGCAAAAGCCCAAGCGCCGGGAAATAACGTCGTTCACCGACGCGCGCGCGAGTTCAACGCGACGACGAGGAGAAAGACCTTTCGTGTGGCGGCGACCGATGTGTGCCATCGACTTTTCTCGTTCCACCGCTCAAATATCGCTCGATTTACGGTGTTTTCTTGTGGTCTTCGAGATCAAGAAGCTCGATCCTTCATCGAGACCGTGGAACGCAGTGTGTATTACGAGGGAGGAGAGGGGGGTAACGATTGGTATTGATGCTGGAAGAAGATGCCGAGGGGAACGTGAGAATTTCGCGTAGTACGTAATGCAGGAAATTTTTCTTTTGTTGCTGAGGACTGGATTGTAAATACTTATATATTGAAGTTAGATTTAACACTAGAACTACCAAGCAAGTCAAAATGACTTGTCAATACACTCTTACAACGACGATTAAAATATTATGACGATACATTTTCTCAGATCTTTTGCACCTTTTATTACGATATGAAACTGAAGAAATTAGTTAATTTCTAAATTTCTAAATTTTTAAAAGATTTTCATGTTTATCCACCGATGGAAGCAAATATGCGTTTATCGTCGGTAGTTCTATGGTGTTAATATATGGATGTTCATCATAACGGTTGTTACGATTTTTCGAAGGCTTCCAATAATATAATCTGGCAAAGAAGAGTTGAGAACAGAAGTTACTCAGTATTCGATCGGCAATAAATTACAATAAAAATTGTAAAAACTTTTTTCTCGATAAAAAATCGAAGTCACTAATATAATACTTCGATTGATTACGTTAAACAATTCCACGGTGGCGCAAACTACATAAAATTCCCCAAACAATCAACATACAGTAAATTTTCGGTGAGTGGTCGAAGCTCCTCGGCACTATGTAACAACAAGAAGTCCCGAGGTGTAACGCTGACTATGTAATGAGCTTTGGCGCAGTGATACAGCTTGAAATTCTGAAGCGAATAATATTTATTTCAATCATATATGGCCATTAGTTTATGAAATATTTAATATTCAGTACCGTGGAGTCTTCGAACACTCACCTAGAATTTACTGTACTACCATAAAATGACCGTCTACCAATTTATAAACGGTATATGTCCCGATAAAACTGTACATTCCCCATATCAATAAATAAGACAGAAGAAGTCGCCCGAGATCTCTAAAACGATTCAATCATATCCCAACGCGAAATCTCCGCGTGATCACTCCGCATCCGTTGAAGGACGATAGAAAGTCGTAGATCGTTCTCTAACAAGAAACGATCGTGTAATACGTTCTTCAACGGGCGGGATTTCTCGCCGAAAATCTTGCGAACTGCCGTAAGATAACCACACCCGATATGGATTCTCTGGTTTACAGGTGCCATCGTTCAACGGATCCTCTTATCTTCGCTACCCCGGTCTGGCGGACACCTCGCTATCTTGGCTGGAATTGGCTGTCACGTTGAAACCGACCGCGGCGGACGGCGTTATACTTTACAACGGCCACCATAGCGATGCTACGGGGGACTTCGTCGCGTTGTACCTGTCCTCGGGACACGTTCAGTTCACCTTCGACCTCGGAACAGGTCCAGCGACATTGAGGTAAGTCGAAATCCCCCAATTCGACGCCCCCGACATCCTCCGATCCGCCATTTTGTTGGACGCGTCGAGACTCCCCCCACTCTTTCACCTCTTTTCCTTTCAATTTCCTCGTTGCTCCTTTCGATCGGGAGGGGCCCACCTCTAATTGAGTCGTTTGCATGCCAGCCCCCGGACGAGCTGATAAACGACGTGAACGGATATTGTAATTTTATTGGGATCCTGCATACGGTAACTGGGGTGAAAAAGGGAAGTGGGTCGGTCGGGTTATGCCAGACTCGTTTTCGCGCTCGATTAGACGGAAAAACGTATTTTAATTTGTTGTGAGAAGTTGATTGGTGATCGTCGAGATAGAGCTCTTTCCGTATGGGGTATGGAATACTTGTTCATACACTTACGAGCAAACTCGGCTTCCACTAAGGGAAAACGAGTCGTAGGGGTAAGGGCTTCCCACCATTAGGTAATTTTATTTCAAGTGCTGAAATAAATGTTAAACCAAATGTTAATTTGGTATAAACTACATAATAATATAGAACACAATTGTCACAGCATCAGACAGTTATAACTTGCAATCAAATATAGACAGACTGGATGAATGGTGTGTTCGAAATGGAATGGTTTTCAACATTGTTAAATGCCATATTATGAGACTCATAGGAAGAATAACCCTTATATCTTCCCTTATTCATTAGGCGGTAAGCAACTTTTACATAAATCTAGTACACGTGATCTCGGTATAACCATCGCATCCACACTGTCTTTTGACTGTCACATCCAAGACATTGTATCTATAGCAAACGGAGCCATAGGTTTCATCCTCAGTGTCGCGTCCGTCCGCGTGGATTCTCTTTTGAATCCGCCTGGAGTTGTAAATTCCAGGCTCGACCGTCGTGGTACGCGTACAGTTGCGACTGTTGCCCGCCAAATTAATTTTAGGCAACTGATTCAATGTTCTCTCTGTGAGAATAAAACAAATATC